AAGAACGTCAAGCCCATGACCTGCACCGACTACGATGCCAACCGCAACCTCAGCACCAAAGAGCAAAGCTGTCTTCGTGCCCTGTTGGGCGCCTTGCAGTGGCCACCAACTCAGACTTCACCTCACTTGAGCGCTTCAGTCTCCCTGCTATGTGGCGAGGTCACTTCCGCCACCGGTGACACAGCAGCTCAGGCCAATAAGGTCCTTCGCTTCGCAAAGTCCAACAGCGATGCGGCCCTGACCTTCAGAGATCTTGGTGGTGACACGGAGAAACTATGTATGGTTGCAATGAGCGATGCTGCGTGGGGAGTCCGCCGCAACAGTGAGTCTCAAGGAGGCTATGTGGTGTTCCTCTGCAACCAGCAGATCTTGGAGGACGGCTCGACCCAAGACTACACGATCTTGGATTGGCGCAGCTTCAAACTACCTCGGGTGAGCAGGTCTTCACTCAATGCTGAGAGTCAAGCATGTTCAGCTGCGATGGACGCCCTTGAATACCTCCTGATCTTTTGGGAAGGTTGCATACGCCACGACTTCCAGTTGAGGCAGGTGGACGACTTCACCCCAGAGATGGCTTCAGCACTGGTCGTGGACGCCAAGGCTCTCTACGACTCCCTCAAAGCCGAGACACCGAGCTTGCAAGGTGACAAACGCACCAAGATCGAGGTGATGGTGACCAAGCCGAAAATGTTGAGTATGAAATCACGCCTCAAGTGGGTCTCATCTGAGGCTCAACTGGCTGATGGCGTCACCAAGTCCTCAGCTCGGCAACTCTTTGCCGATCGCCTGTCACACCGTATCTCCCTCCAAGCTGACATGAGCTTCCAGGCCTCCAAGAAGAAAACGATGGCTGAAAGACAAGCCAGTGCTCGACGACATGCCATCACGAAGACCGGCAACTCCAAGCACCTGGCATTCGCTGTCCTCACCTCACAAATGATTGGGGTGAAAGCTGTGACCATGGAGGACACCCTGACCTTCATGCTGAGCCCGGAAGCGATCATGATCCTCTACACGATGGCACTTGGCATGCTTCTTTGGCAGTTCTTTCGCTGCTGTAGCTCTACTTCCTGGTGCTCCTCGATTACCAGAACCACGTGGACTATGACATCCACGAGCTCTATGGCAATGGGCACGCAGACAGAGAAGGAGCCAGAGACTGATCTCAAGATCTTGATGTCCGAAAACCTCCGGCTTCAGGAGATCGTTCGAGATCAAGAAGCTGAACTATTTGACTTACAGGCTCAATGCTCTGCCCAAGAGGAAGAGATCGAGCAGCTGATCGACACCAAGCGCTACATGCAGTGCGAGCTGCAGGAGGTTGAAGGTGAGTTCAGAAAAGCTAGAAACAATTGGATTGATGTGCACAACCGCCTGGCAGCAGTCCAAGATGATCTTGCTCGAGAGTGGCTGCCCCGGACGCTCTTCACCACTAAGAGCGGAAAGTCCTTTCACACGACCCCTGAGTGCCAAGCTTTGTCTTCAGCAGACCACTCGCAAATGAAGCAGTGGGATTGCTGTGCATACTGTGATGGCCAAAAGGCCCTTGAGAGGTGGCGCGTTGACATACCACCAGCTCTGTTCTAGAACAACCACCGGTGTGGATTTCGTGCCACAAAACCGGGTCGCTTGAACATGAGTTCTTGTGCATGCAGCTTTTGGCATACCGCCGCTGCTACTTTTCGAATCCTGCTCCTATGCAGGGGCCCCTTGAGTCACGACATGACAGGCAACGCCCAAAAGAAAAGACTGTTCCGTTTTCACGTGAGCACTTCGAGCGGCTTTCACGTTGGTTCGCTTTTCGCGTTCTTTCATAATATGTTTTTTCCCCAAACAGTTTACTGTTAGGGGTTCTCAACGCTTTAAAGAATGGTCACCTTGGTGCTGGATGGTCTGGGCGGGTGGCCGGCTTGTCTCATTTGTTCTCCCACTTCTTTTCACTTGTCTCCCAGTTCTTTTCATTTGTCTCCCAGGCTGGGTACTTGTGGTCGGGTTCCCGGCTGGCTTGTCTCCCACTTCCTTTCATTTGTCTCCCACTTCTTTTCATTTGTCCCACTTCTTTTCAATTGTCTCCCAGTTCTTTTCAATTGTCTCCCAGTTCTTTTCATTTGTCTCTCAGTTCTTTTCATTTGTCTCCCAGGCTGGGTGCTTGTGGTCGGGTTCCCGGCTGGCTTGTCTCCCACTTGCTTTCATTTGTCTGCCACTTCTTTTCATTTGTCTCCCACTTCTTGTCAATTGTCTCCCAGTTCTTTTCATTTGTATCTAGGGCTTGTGGCTGGCTTGTCTCCCACTTCCTTTCATTTGTCTCCCACTTCTTTTC